AAATCTAATTTTTGCTAAATTATTTGTTGTACATACTTATTTCTAAAACTCCAAAAATTATATAAAAAGGTTCGGAAACTTAATATATATTTGTACTACTCTTTTTAACTCAAAAAATTACAAAAAATGTCTGAAATTGTTTTAAATGACTGTGTATAATTTTCGTAATTTTTTCTCAAACTTAAAAAATAGTAAAAATCGCTCAGAATTATTTAAAAAAAAAATTCACTTTTATCAAAAATATTTTTTAATTTTTTTAAGCTCGATAAACTATTAAAAACAGAATTTTTTCTAAATCAAAAATTAAAAAAAAAAGATACAAGAATTCAAAAATGAAAAAAAAAATTCTACAATATTTTTAAACAAACTTATTTTTATTTAGAATATTGTTTTTTATATATTTTTAGGCCTAAAATAAAAAAACCCAAAAAAGTGTTCTAAAACTTGCTTACATAATCTCATATAAAAATTACATATTATATATTGCGAATGTGTATGTATGCGCATTTTTTTTCATTATTAGTTAGGTTGGTAGAAGATAGAAACAACGCCATCTGTGAACGCCTGCAACATTCTGCCTGACACTTTACATACATACATACATTCGGTTTTTTCTTTTCCGTTTTTGATTTTCTGACCCAATGCGAGTTGAGTTGGCTGCAGCAACAGCTAAAAAGTTCACAAATGTGCTTGATAGTACGCACAGAGTGTGTAGGCGTGGCAGTGCGAGTGACATTGAGTTGACAGTTGTCATGTTAGTTGCAAGTTTTTTCTACAGTTATACAACAGTTTTATTTTACCATTTTCTTCAAAGGCAGCCTGAACAGTCCATGTGCTGGCAGGTTTTGGGTCGAGTGGGCTTTCAAGGTAAAGGTAAATTGTCGCAACAAAACGAAATAAAAAAATGGACGCAAAAAAGCAAAAACAAAAAATATAAAAAACAAAAGAAAAAAAAACAAAAGCAGCAAATATAAAATACAACAAGCGTATGAAAAAAAAAATTTGCTATGAAAAAGGCAGAAAATAAACGCTAACAATGACAATAAGCTGCGTAAGAAACGGCAAACTTTTGTTAACAGCTTATAAAGTTAACCAACTGCTAGACAGCAGCGTCGGCCTGCAAAAGTGGCCAAAAACGGCTGCTGCGGCGTTTGATTTCACGATACAACGGAGCAAAAGCGATGAAGGTCAGCTGCCATGTCTACTGAATGAGTGCAAGGCCAGTACGCAAGTGCAATTGACATTATATACAAAAGAAAATATATTGTACTGTGTGCGTGATAAACATATATAGGTTAACTAGGCGGAGGTGAGATTGTGCAGTCAAAAATCGTAAGCTTTAAATGCCTACTTTTAGGCTTGTAAGCCGATTGAAATGCCACGAAATACGTGCAGCAAATTGATGGGTTTGTTTTCTGCGTTATATATGGCGTATGCCTAACACAATGCGGTTAGTATTACGATATGGTGTATGCCTAACACAATGCGGTTAGTAGTATGACATGGCGTATGAGTAACATTCTGCGGTTCATATTATGACATTGCGTATGAGTAATCAAAATTAAAGAGAAGTGGACTTAGAACGAAAATAAGCTAATATCTTCAGAGTAAACATAAGGCATAAAATCGGCTTATCTCATAAACGAATTTCGAATTCAAAAAATTGTTAAGTAAAATATAAATTTTTCATAGCAAATTGAAATATAATTTTATCGAAATTTGAAAATTTTGCTCAATTTTTGTTTTCAAAATTACAAATTAAAAAAAAAATTAATTTTTGGGGTTTCAGTAGGTGCTAATTATAAAATTTGTCAATTTTTATAAATAAAAGTTTCCTCTTTATAAAACTATTTCTTTTTCCTTTTATAAGTTCAAGAAGCGTTAAGAAACAGAATTCTTATAATTTCTTAAATTATGAGCCACCATTTTAAATTACTATTGTTTTGGATTTGCAAGCTTTATGAGTAAATAAACAATTGCGTGACACAAATTTATAAAAAATTGGACAAATGTGTAATTTTTTCTATTTTTTGATATAAAAAAAAAATTTCTAATTTGTAATAAATATAATTTTTTCAAAGTGCCAGAAAATCAAAACACTTTTTTATTTAACAAAAAAATTTTTTTTATATATGAATCCATTTATAAATGGCATATTTTTCAGTTATAATAAAAAGTTGATTTTTTTTCCTCCAATTTCTAATAAATTGCTATTGCTTCTAATTCCAATTAAATGTTTTTTGACATTTTTTTTTTAACTTTTTTAATTTTGCTTTTTAGTTTTTAATTTGTTTTTAATTTTCCTTATAAAAACGTGCAAACAACAACAAAAAAATATTAAGTCCAATTTTTCAAAATTAAATCGAATTAAATATCAGCTTAAAGTGGGTTTAAAATATGGACGAGTAGTGTGCACATTTGAAACATGCGGTACAACATAAATTTTTAGCAACAGCAACAAAAATAGTTTGATAGTGCTTTCTTTTCATCTTGCATAAGGTGTTATAGGACGACATGGCGTATGCGCAATATTTTCGTGTTTATACTCATTTGGTTTTCGTTTCATTAACATCTGATACATGCCTACAATTAAGCCCTCCCAGGCCTTGAAGGCTATGCTGATCAGAAACTCCTTATAGTGTAGTATAAAATATTTAATGAAATGAGAGAGGGTAAATAAGAACCAGCATTACCTGAAAATAAAAGAAAAAATGATATATGAATATATTTCACACTTAATGGCCATAAAAAATTTATTCTGGTAAAATATTTTTTTTTTTAATTTTCGCTGAATTTCAACTTTAAAATTTTTCCTGATATATTTTTTACAAATATACCACAAAAATGCGGAAATATTTTACGCTTTCTGCAATTTTTTTGTACCCTTTATATGAATTTATTTCTAATGCCTTAAACATACTCTCGACACTGCAAACACATGAACTCATACTTGAAAAAAAAAAAAAACAACGGAAACTGTCGCACGTAAGCCAAATAATAAGACGGAAAGCGCAAATATCTGGCAAGGTGGCATAGCTGTTTCACAGTTATCCCATATATAGATACATATATGAATATAAAATATATGTGGCTCACGCGTGCAAACGTGAGTGGCAGACACAAACGCCTCCGCGTGGCAAGCGAAGGTAGCACGGCACGTAATGTCACGCCAGGAATAATTCACCAAAGCACGTATGCGCCCTACAACAATAACAACAAGTGCAATGATTACAGCAGTAAAGGTAGAAACTATATACGAATTTGCTGAATGCGTTGCGAAAAATATGTCAATAAAAAGCAGACACGCCAAAAATTGCGCAGAAATACACTGTTACGTGCCGAACCACTTGATTTGGCATTTATTTGTACGCTTCACGCTGTTTTTTATCGTAAATTTTATTTGCTATCCTGCGGGTGTTGCAATTAGTGGCACATCAATATTGAGAGGTTCATTGGAGGCACATATACATACACATATGTATATGTTTAGGGTTTAATTGCAAAAAAAAAAAAAACTTTGGATATGGCGATTTTTTGATGAAAAATACTGTATAACAATTAAATTGAATAAAAACTAAGAATCAATTCTTTGAAATATTTATTTTTGAAATACTGAAAAAAAGATGGTTTTGAAAATTTTTAATAGTTTTAAATTATAAAAAATATTTTTTTTACTCTATAACAAATAAATGGAATAATCAAAAAAATATTTTATTTTTTTTTAAGTTGTTTGGTTTTTAATTAATAGCCAAAAATTTAAAGTAAAAAACAATGATTTTATTTCTAATCGCAAAAAAAAAAATCCTTAAAATCGTGAAAAATTTATAAGTACAATTTTTCAATAAATATCACAAAAAATATATTAAATTATCACAAAAAAACTATTTCCAAAAATTGATTTTTATTAAAAAAAAAAAATAGATTTTCTGCAGTGTTCATAATTTGCATTTCTCTTAAAATATATATTAAAAAAACCTTAAAAAATATTTTTAAAATTTTGGGAAAAAATTAAATCACAACTTTTTGTCAATTTATGGATTCTATACCCAAAGTATTCTGCTGACTTGGCGGCGAAGAATGAATCAGGCAATTTGTGATATTCTGATATGAACACTATTCCATTGAGCACGCTCAACTGACACCATGTCGAATTGGCTGTTTGGAAAGGTTTCAAATATAAATTTTTTAATTAGCAATAATGCTATCAATAAGTTGGAGAGTCGCTAAAATCAGTCAATTACCCTTGAAGGGAACCATATTTAATAAAAAAAAACACGAATTTATCAAAAAAAAAAAAAAATTGTGTGATACTATGGTAGGCTGCAGGGGCCTTTTTAATTGAACTGTTATTGCTTTCATTTACTACAGCTGGTCTAAAATTCTCGAGTTTCTGCACTACCAGAATTTTGAAGAAAATTATTTAAGTAAACAGTGAAGGACTTTACTCATATCATTACAACATTCGATCATTAAAAAAGTTTTTTATTTTATTTTATCTTTTAACAAATCTTTGCGCATATTTTTCTTAACTTTGTCTCTTTTTCACATTTTCTTTGCAGATCTTTACTACTGAAACCATACAAAAACAAATAACTATCGTCGTACCCCAACAAGATTTATACGAATACTTCCCAAAGTCACTATAAAATCAACCCCAAGAAGTTTCTAGACAAACGCAAGTGTATTTAAAACTGAAGCCTGTATATTATCATACCACAAAGTTTCCAACCGCAGACACCTGCAGCGAGTTTTCCACTTACCCGAACACACCAACACTCGTCTCATTGAATAGCTGCTCGCAGTGAACACATCAAGTGCATACAATGTTTCACATCTCCGCAAAGGAGTCGAGACTAAGCAATGCGAATAATAATAAAATAACAACAATAACAAAACCAGCAGCAACCACAACAACAATTACAGCAACACCACGAACGCATGGCAGCAACTCTAGCGGCGACCGCAACGCATGCCAAACCATCGATATACGCAAGTTGGCAGCGACAGCCGCGCAATTAGAGGCCGCCAGTAATGGGCAGCGCAGCAGTGTCGTGGGAACAACCGAAGCAACAACAACAGCAGCAGCAGCGTCGACGTCGGTGGGAGCGACGCACACAGCTACAGCACAAAATTGCAAGAACAACAGCAACAGCATACACAGAAGTGGCAGTAAGGGCAGCAACAGCAGTGGCGGCTATGCAGCAGCAACACGATCAAGGTTAAGAGCAGCAGAGGACAACACCAAAGCAACAAAAACACCAAATAATTTAGCAGCAACAGCCAGCGATAATAAGCAAACCACAGCAACACTACTTAAAATGCATTCCAACGCGACGCCGAACACGGAGCACGCAAACGCCGGCAGCAGCAGCAACAATGCCAATACCGGCGGCGCAGTGGTGCTCAATATTGGCAACGCCGCGGAGTCGCTACAGCGCCATGGCAGCGCGCGCAGCAAATGCAGTACGGGCAGTGGCGGTGGCCAAGCGCGCGTCACACGTGGCAGTGGGAGCGCACGCAGCCGCAGCAGTAAGCAGAGAAAAACTAGTTCCTCAAGTGCCAAGGGTGCTGACGGTGACAGCACAACAAAAACTACTACAACAACTAGCAAAAATCCTACTAACAATAAGTTAAGCGCCGGCAATGCCGAGCGCGGCACGCCGCCGCCACCATATACAAGTCAGGCGCCCGCGAACGCGCGCAACTCGGTGCAACGCACGAGTAGCAAGCGCAGCACAAGCAAAGCGGCTAATCAACAGCAACAGCAGCATCATTCACAAAATGGTGGCGCATCTACACGCGCGGCGCCGCAAAATCGTGACGCGCGCCAATCGCAATCGTCATCGTCGCGCGAGCATTCACGTTCACGTTCGCGCTCGCGTTCACAACAGCGCAGTGATGAAGAGCGCGACGCAGCAGCAGTGAGCGCCGCGGCCAGGCAACGTCGGCGCCATGGCAGTCGAAATTCGTTGGCGAGCGTGGAGCGTAGCAAGAAGCGCGTTGACGAGGAGGCAGACGATGATTCCTATACGTCATCGTCCGGCGTGAGCTGCAATGGTTCGTGCAGTTCGGATGATGGCGACTCGAATAGCACAACGTCGAGCGGTGAGCCGAATTTACCATATCCGGGCTTTCCGGAGATATCTTTCCTCATATTGTCGCAGGACTCGAGGCTACGCAACTGGTGCTTGCGACTCATCACCAATCCATATCCTTTTCAATAAATATGTTCAAAAATACATATCTAACTTTTTTACAGCAAAACGTTTTCAGTGCGGCTTTGAACAGTGAGTAATTATGTGCGAGTCTAAAAGTATGCAATGACATTTTGTTCCATAATATAATAATTAATTTAAACTTTTTGTCCCGAAAAGCATGCAATGAAATGTTTTATGGTTGAAATATAATCTCGACGAAATAACAAAAATATTTTTCGCTCTATTATCCGCTTTTAATTCGTTTTCTCAACTGAAACTATTTCACAAAAATGTAGAATTGTTCCAAATGCTACGCGCAAGAAAGTATGTAAAAGCAGAACACAAAAAAACTTGTTATACGCAGTTTTCGAGCACACAAATTCCTGTTTGAAAATCATTTATTTTGCTCAATCATTTGCTAAGTGAAACTAAGAAAGCGCAAACAGTATGCAAAGAAAGCAAAACCAGATGTTTTAACAGATTAGCTGATATGCCAAAGCAACATTTAGAATATTTCCATACCAGTTTTTGGTGTTGTGCGAATTCAGAGATAGGGGAGGAACGAAGAGCGCACACAAATCAAATAAATTAAAAGTTAATCAAATGCTATTTTAGACAAGTGGCTAAGGTGGAGCAAAAAGTTTTTGGAGAAAGAAGAGGAGAGAGAAAAAAACGATAGATAAGTGGGGAAAAGAAAGTGCTTGCTCGAGAACGTGGATGGTTTCTGATAATATTATAGCGAACAGAAAAAATTAGTAAGAATGTGCCTTTGGCTTTGTGCGCTACCAGTGTTATAATAATTAATTTCTTATGAACAAGGAGGTATAGATTACCTTTAGGGGCTAAACATATTAACTTAAATAAGTAAGGTTCAGACCTATTAAAGAAGTTCCAAAATCCAACTAAAAACGGCTAATCCATTAGAAACAGTAAAGTAAAGAAGCAAGCAAATGCATATTCTTCAAAACCGAAAAATGGTTCAATGTACTTATTAGTCTCTTCTCTCTGCTGAGACTGACAATCAAGTTTAACAATGCGAATTCTATCAAATATGAGTAGTTTCTTAAAAAATGTGTTGATTATAAAAATAAGAATATCAAGAGTAAAAAAAAAAATATATATATATATATAAGGAGTTAGAAAGATACATACGTCAAAAAAAGAGAGGAATATAAAAAAAGTTTTATTTATAAGATAATGCAAGAAATTTGCCAACCAATGCAAAAAAATGCCATAACAACGGTTAATACTTGTAATATTTCAATAGAGTAAAAAAATTCTTACAATGCCATATACAAATAAAAGTAAGAATATTTATGCCCTGAACAGGGTACACTAAGTTTGCTACGAAGTTTGTTACAGAACCAGCAGCAACTTCGGAGGATAAGTTTCTACATACACATGTATATAAAAGATCAGTGTGACGAGCTGAGTTGATTTAATTATATTTGGGGGTCCAGGACACCAATGAAATCCTCAGTTTTTGAGATATCGATCGGAAATTTTGTATAAGTTTTTTTCTCTTAAAGAAGCTCAAGATTTGTCGGAATCGCCCATATCGAACAACCATAGCATACAGCTGCCAAGCGACCTGATTGATAAAACTCAAGTCTCTGTACGAAAACTTTTTCATTTGTTAAGATATCTTCACGAAGTGTGCAGTACATTCAGGTTATGGTTAAGGTTAAGGTTAAGGTTAAGGTTAAGGTTAAGGTTAAGGTTAAGGTTAAGGTTAAGGTTAAGGTTAAGGTTACGGTTAAGTTAAGTTAAGTTAAGTTAAGTTAAGTTAAGTTAAGTTATGTTAAGTTAAGTTAAGTTAAGTTAAGTTAAGTCAGGTTAAGTTAAGTTAAGTCAGGTTAAGTTAAGTTAAGTTAAGTTAAGTTAAGTTAAGTAAAGTAAAGTAAAGTTAAGTTAAGTTAAGTTAAGTTAAGTTAAGTTAAGTTAAGTTAAGTTACGTTAAGTTAAGTTAAGTTAAGTTAAGTTAAATTAAGTTAAGTTCAGTTTCCGTCAGGTAGATCTAAAAAGTTAACTTTGGTCGAATATAGCAGGTCGGATATAAAAAATTTTTCAATTTGAACAACTATAGCATATATGTACATATGTACCTGCCATACAAACCGACCCATCAAAATGAAAATATATTCTTTATACCCGTTTTTATGCTATAAGAAATGCTGCTGTGAACGGTATTTCAGCTTCGTGCAGTCGAAGTTATCTTTTTTACTTGTTGCTTTTTTTACCGTTACAAACGAATAATCAGTAGACCCATACACTATGTGTGGACCAACGGGCCGTTGACAACGATAAGCATACTGGTACATACATAAGCACATATTTCTTTGCATAAATGTATAAATCTATATGCATACATGCATATGTATTTATACATATATGTGCGCATGTGTATGTGTATGTTTACGAACATACATACATATGTATGTTTTTTTTTTTTCAATAAATGCCATTGCCGGTAACTATATCTCCACTGCATTGTTGCTGTTTTCATTGTTTGCACCGCTGACTGCTTTTCAAGCCTCACTGCCAACGGCATACCTGTGTATAAGTAACAACAACAACAAAGCATGTGTCGCAGCTACAAACTCCAGTCAGTTGCAGCGCATGAACTGTTGCTGGCTGCTTCGTTGCGCTTTGTTGCAGGTAACTGAGCGAGTTTTTTATGTAGCGGAAGCGGAAATAAAAATCAACCATGGTGAAATATGTTTATTTACTTTTATTTATATATATTTTTTATTTTGCGTCGGGAGCACATATTTGGCGCACAGAGATTCTTCCTAGCATACACACATACATATTATAACGGTATGCTAGCACATCCCCAGCTCCGCACAGGCAACGCTACATATAAACGTGTGCACTTGCTGTAGCATACTTTTAGGGTACGAAATAGTTTAACGTATTTTCTTCCGCTTTTTTAACGCTTGCATTTTATTTGCCTTATTTATTACATTTTCCAGCATATTTAGTTTGCGCTTTTCAATTTTATTTTTTTTTTGTTGTAAATTTTTTATTTTCTTCTTTTACATTTGTCCGCTTTCTGTTCACATATTTTCAGGTTTATTTAATTTCAACCGTTTCATGCCAAGGCCACTGCGTTAATTGGAGAATCTGTGGGGCATATTTGTTTGCTCTTTTCCATCTTTTCATTTTATGTATGACTTGCCTGGTATATTTAATTCAGTTTTATCTTTGGCGGTGCAGTGATTTTAAATTGAAAATAATTTAATGTAAGAACTTTCTCACTTTCGCTGGAAACGAAAGCTCAGCTTAAGTGACTGAGGTTATTTTTTATTAATAAATGATATAAAAAAATATACAAAGATATACAAAAATAAGTAAAAACGGTTTTACTGAAGTTATTATAGCCTTCGCAGTAAAAATATCTAATATTTGAGCGGTCAGTTTGTATGGCAGCTATATGTTATAGTGGCTCGATCTGAACAATTTTTTTAGGGATTGTAGCTTTGACTTCGGCAAAAGTTTATGTTAAGTTTCCTGAAGATATCTTGTCAAATGTAAAAGTTTTTCCTACAAAGCCTCTATCATGATCGTTCAGTTTGTATGGCAGCTATATGTTATAGTGGCTTGATCTGATTTATTTTCTCAGAGATTGTAGCGTTACTGCGGGTAATAATTATTGCCAGAATTCATTAAGATACCTCGTCAAATAAAAAAGTTTTCCATACAAAAACTTAACTTCGATCGGCCGGTTCATATGGCAGCTATATGCTATAGTTTAGGCGATTTCGACAAATGAGCGGACTCTTCGAGCGAAAAGAACGGATGCAAAATTTCAGTACGATAATAAATAAACTGAGTAACAAGTACATGCTTAAAACACAGGAGACTCATTACTGTAGAACTAAAGTTTTTCTACCAACCGCGCTGCGATGCTGATTTTATGGGTTATGAATACCAAGCTTTCACTTACACTTACAGATATAATAAATATGCATAAATTTCCTACATGTGGCAACTCTATGAAGCTGCTTCGGCATCACTATAACAACATCGTAATATACCGTTATGACTACGAAATGTTGCAAATCGTCAGCAGCGCATGTAAATATTTTCCAGTTTAATGCACTTCAAGGCACTCTAAGTACGCGCGCACGCACACACATACACCAACAAGCAGCTTACTGTGTATGTGTGTGTGCGCTGCCTTACAAATTGCAAATTGTTGTGCTTAACACACGCGTAATGCGCAAAATTTCAATTTGCCTCCACCAGCTGTGCCACATGTCGCCACATGTAGCGTATTTAACAACCACAATAACATAAATAACAACAAAAATAGCTTAAGCAAGTGGTAAGCGCGTGAGCGAGCGAAGTTTGCTGAAGATTTCTACGTCCATTGTCCACAAGCGACTGTGTGGCATGCAACCGTTGTAGTAATATGTGTAACTAAGCATGTGCTTATATCTAACATGAGTGCAACAATAACACAATAATAACAACAAAAACACTACATGTAGCTTACTAAGCGAAACAAATCAAGTGAAACGGTGGAGCCTTGTCACGCACACTCGAAACTCAGCAATAACAATAACAAGCTGGATGAGTAGCAATTCCTAAGTAGTGCTACAACAATAATAGCAACAACGGCGGGCCAAAATATCTCGCATGCCACTTGTGGCACAAAGAAAACCGCACAAATGTTTTAAGCGAAGTGCAACAATTTGTTGCAGTGTTGTTGTTGGTTTTTGTTTTTGTTGTAAATTTATTCACATCAAGCATGTATAGCATTTACGGTATTGTCACTTTCTATGGCTTTGTTATCTTCCAACAATTCACGCAATTTTCTATTATTACAAGTGCTTTCTTTGTTGCTGTTGATTGAATTAAATTTTACGTCGACGTTTGTTGTTGGTGCATTGTGCAAATATCAGTTTCATAGAGGCTATTATGGTATTAAGTCTCGTGGAAATAAATGAGGTTAAACACGAATAGGTTCAGTACAGAAAGCTTAGGATAAGTTTAGGTGGACTTA